CTGTTTGTGAGCAGCAGGTCAAGCTGTGCATGGCCCCTGGTTGGTTCCTTCAGCACTTGTACCAAGAAGTTATCCCCAACATTCTCCAAAAAGTCCCTGGATTGTCTGTGTCCTGCTGCATTGGTCCACGGATAATACAGCTACCTGCCATGACCCCTGCTGTGCCTATCATCTAATGCCGTGGTGCCCTCAGCGCCCCCTTCCCTCTGGCAGGCCCTTGAGGTGCTCCCTGTGGGACTCCAGCTGCATCCACCCCAGGCACGGCCCAGATGTGCCCCAAGTGACCAGCCTCACCAACGACCAGCCAGAGCCTCCAGCTCTCCATCTCCCACTCAGTGCTCTAGGCACCAGCATCCCAGCTTCCCTCTCCAAGGCCAGTCTCATGGTCCCTGGAGAGAACTTCCCTGCCTGGGTTCCTCGGAGAGACCTGCTTGTGCACTGGGACTGTTGGTGAAGGGTGTGACGGCGCATTGGGGCCACCCTCCCCCCCCGCTCCTGCACACCCGGAGTAGCAAGATGAGATTCCTCCAGCCAGTAGAATAGAGGGTTCTTGCTTCTCCAGGACACAGCCCAGCACAGACGTGACGTGATTACAGGAGTCGGGGCCAGGGTGCCTCAGAGCCCTTGGGGTAGGGGTCCACTGGCCCCTTCAATCCCCAGAACTCAGCTTAGTCTCTTCTTTCCATGTTTTTCCAGACCAGACTGCCTAGCTCCCAGGCCCTGCCCCCTCCCCCTTCCTTTCATCTCTCCTTCAGGAAAGAGCCTTGTTGTCTGCTCATGCTGGGACTAGGTGTCTGGGCCAATCCCCATGTGGGTGAGTCAGTGGGAATCGCATCACAGCCTAGGGGAACCCTGGTGACAGCAGACAGCCCCCCCCCCCCCCTCACAGGGGGGAGGGGGGACACTGCACGTTTGTGAGCTCAGCAAACATTCACCTGCTCACAGAGAAGAAAAATATAGCAGCCCTGGCTGGGTGTGGCCATGTGTGTGCGTATGTGGGAATGCACAACATGCAGCTGCCTGTGTGCACATGTATGGTTGCCTGGGTGTGCATTTGCACACGCTTCTACCACTGCTTCCAGGGAGGAGTGAACTGCCTCCCATCCCCACTTGATGGCTCTTTGGTGGGGAAGTGCCTCCTTGTCCCCCCCACCACAACAGGGTGAGTTCAGGGAAGCACAAATGGTGACTCTTGAGCTTCTTGTGACCTGCCCTCCTTCCCCACTGTTGGAGTTCCCAGCAAGAAGGAACTGCAGGTGGGGGGGGGGGTGCGCAGTGCCCTTCTACCTCACCATGGAGGTGCCGTTCCGGGAGTCGGTCACCAGAGCCACTCCCCTGCAGATCCCGCTAGGGTGAAAACGTCCAGCATCGGTGCACATGTCTCACGTGGAATGGATACGAGCAACATGTCTCAAAGAACACCAGTTCCAGAAAGGAAAACGACCTATCTTAGAACACACAACTTTGTGCTTTTCTCGGGGAGAGGGGGACAAAACCTGTGAACTGTTTGCTCAAGACCACCTCCTAAACGGTAGGAGCTAGGACCACCAGATTTAGTACGCAGCTTCCTCTTCTCTTGACTTTAAAGCAAGGTCAGGGTTTGGCTGTGCCAGGACAACCAGAAGCCCAGGAAAGGGACTGTTTTCCAGACCATGCAAAGGGAGGGCTGCTGTTTGGAGGAATGTAATATGAGAGTGGCCACGGGGAGCAGTAAGTCCCCAGGGGAGAGCTATCCTGCAGAGTGGCCACAGAAGTTAATAGAGCCAGACTGCTTGGTAATAGTGACCATTATATCATGAAAGTTAACATCCCTGTGGTGGGAATAACACCACAGCAGCCCAATGCTGTAGCACTTAATTTCTGAAAGGGGAGCCACACAAAAATGAGGCGGCTAATTAAACAGAAATTAAAAGCCACAGTGCCAAAAGTAAAATCCCTGTAAGTTGCATGGAATCTTTGTAAAGATAACATAATAGAGGCTCAATTTAAATATATACCCCAAATAAAACAGTACAGTAAGAGAACCAAAAACAGGCCACCATGGCTACATCATAAAGTAGAAGAAGCAGCGAGACAAAAAGGTACCCTTTAAAAAGTGGAAATTACATCCTAGTGAGGAAACTAGAAAGGAGCATAAACTCTGGCAAATGAAATGTAAAAATATAATGAGGAAGGCTAAGAAAGAATTTGAAGAACAGCTAGCCAAAATCTCAACAAGTAATCCATGGTATACCCACATCTTGATCACTGCACGCAGATGTGGTTAGCTCTTCTCGACAAAGGTATCTCGGCACTGGGAAAAGTTCAGGAAAGAGCAAGAAAAATGACGAGGGCTTTCGAATGCCTGCCATATGATGAGCGATGTTTACACTGCCCCCTCTTGTGCAAAAGCAATGCAAATGAGGCAAAGTGTGGAATATTGCCATGCCTCAGAGTCATTTGCATAATTAATGAGGCTACATTTTTGCGCAAGAGCCGTTCTTCCTCTTTTTTTCAGAGGGGGTTTTTGCGCAAAAACGAGCTGTGTAGAAAAGTCTCTTGTGCAAAAACAGAGCCTCGTTAATTATACAGATGAGGCACGGCGATACGCCATGCTTTGCCTCATTTGCATATTTTTTTGCACACGAGAGGGCAGTGTAGACATAGTCTGAGACTTTTCAGCTCAGAAAAGGGACGATTAAGCTAAGCTAGGACAGAGGTCTATAAAATCATGACTGACGTGGAGAAAGTGAATATGGAAAAGTTAGTTATCTGTTCCTGTACCACAAGAACGGGAGGTCACCAAATAAAATTAATAGGCAACAGGTTTAGAAGAAAGAAAAGGGAGGATTTTGGCACACAAGGCACAGCCAATGTGTGCAACTCTTTACCAGAGGATGTTGTGAAGGCCAAGACTATTACAGCATTCAAAAAAGAACCATTCATGAAGGATAGTGCCATCCAGGGCTGTTGCTAAGGGGGTTACAGGGTCCCAAGCACCCCCCCTTACTCCAGAAGCAACACCTCTCCCCATTTCCGCTCTGCCCCTTCCCTCAAGCCCCTCCCCTGTACCACCCTCATCCCACCTCTTCCTGCCTCTGCTCCACCCCTTCCACCCTCTAGTGCAGGGGTGTCCAAACTTTTTTCAACGAGGGCCAGATTTGATGAAGTGAACATGCGTGAGGGCCGACCATTTTGCCTGACATTCTTTGAACCATTAAAATTAAATGCAAATTAACTATTTTATGCAAAGTTTATTGCAAACGGCATACTTTTCATTTCGTCACATGGATGACAAATCTAAACAGGTGTTAAATCACTCTGCCTTTCATATCTGAAGGCCAGATGAAAAAAAAAATCCAGGAAGCTGAAATATATGTCAGGAACATTGTAAAGTACATTACATATTATTGGTAATAAAGGTTGTCTGTCAACTTTTAAGTTCAAAAAATATGAACAGGAACATAACACCAAGTATACATGTTGTGTCCAAATATATTTATAACTGATTTAGACCAACTGACTTTAACTGAGATTTTACAATGTATTCATCTCAATACATATGGATTCGTTGGGGGCCATAAAAGATAGATATTGCCAAATTACCCGTGGGGCCGTATTAAACCGGAACACGGGCCGCAATTGGCCCGCGGGCCGGACTTTGGACATGCCTGCTCTAGTGCTACCCTTCCCTGCAGCCCCCGCCCCCGAGCTATGGAACCCGGGGGCTTACCTGGGGGGCCTTGCATGGAGCGGTCACTGTGGTCCGCCTGCTCCATTCCTCCTCCTATCTTCCAGTGTGCTGTGCTCTGGTTCACCGTCGTGGGAAGCAGACTGCTCCCTGCAGCCCTTGATTGCTTATGCTGCTTTTCATGTGGTATTTTCAACAATCACAGGCTATGTCTGCAGAGTGTCTACACTACACGCGTGTTCTTGCGCAAGTACATTTACAGTAGAGCGTCAGAAAACAAGGCTTCTTGCACAAGAGTTGTTCCTCTCCCCATGAGGAATAAGCCCTCTTGCACAAGAGCTCTTCCACAAAAAGGCAGTGTAGACAGGCAATAGGGGTTTCTTGTGCAAGAAAGCCCTCTGGCTAAAATGGCTCTCAGAGCTTTCTTGCACAAGAGAGCGTCCACACTGCCATGGACGCTCTTGCACAAAAGCACAGGGCCGTGTGGACGTGCTCTTGTGGAAGACCTTTTGTGCAAGAACTCTTGCACAAAACAGTCCTTGCACAAAAAGCCTGCAGTGTAGACGTAGCCGCAGTGTATTGCCTGTCCCCCGAAACAGCTCGCCTGGGTTCCCTATAAGCATAGACAGCCAAGGCTGGTGAGGGCCAGAACCTAAAGCGGCTACATTGGGTCAAACGCTGTACACTTGGGCACCATGGAACGAATCGTACACTGCAACAGAATCCCAGAGCAATTCTCAGCCACATGGAGGCTTTCCTAAACCGATCTGACAGAGCCTAGAAACGACATGGGCCATCTCACGTATCCCGCTCTTCTCCCCACTGCCTTCCCTTGCCCTCTGAATCCCCCTCCTCAGAGTGCTGCTGCTCATCTTCCTCTTTTGAAACCAGTTCTCTTCAACTCTTTGGATTTCTTTAAACAAAATGTCTGTGTTGGTAAGTTGTGTAGTACAAATAACGGGGTTATTTTTTAATCATACATATTCTCTGTAATTAAATGTTTCAAGTAGGTGAGGTAGCAGATGGTTAATACATTATAAGAAGCTAATGGAGTTGAAGTTTATGTATATTTAATAATTGTTATATAGAAATTAAATGTTAATAAGAAAAAAGATGGCCGCCGATGTGCCCTGCAACTGGCGTGATGTCATAGAAAAATGGATGGCATCACTTCTTTATGACATTGCTAGGTAGGCTCATCGTCGCTAAGGAAACATGATCAAGCAGCTCCCAACAAAACAAGGTTTTTGTGGGAGACAAAGCCCCCTACTTTCTTAACAGATGGCTCTTGTTCAGCCTGCAGGACAGGCAGCCAGCAGGGTAAAGGACTATGGAGTCTTCTCAGAAAGGGCATAGTTTGGGTCAGCCAGCGGCAAAGTTCCCCCGGAGCATCTCCCCCCAGCGAGGAGCAGAACTCTTCCAAGGCACCCTGCTCCAGCCGGGGAGCGCACCCCCCCGAACCACCTCACTTCTGGAGGGGAGTGAGCATTCTCAAGGCATCCTACTTCGACAAGTGAGTGC